ACATAATCAACGCAAATGCAGTGGTCAGAGGTTGACAAGGATATTGTTTTCCTTATATTTCTTAACCATTCCAAAATTCAGTGGCGCAATGGATCTTCCAGGGGACAATGACGCAGTGTACATTGAGTAAGTACGTTAAGTATTAGCTACTAGTTAAAGGGCGTGATGAAATTTTCTAACTATAGTCGATAATTCCCATGAACAGAGAATTCACACCGCTGGGCTTCGGTGAAAAAGGCTGACACGGGTAGCAAGTCACTGACATCCGGATAATAGACAAAATGTACCCCGGATTGGTCATCCCAAAGCGTACCGATCAAATGATCATGCTTTTTGATACGTCTGCTCAAATAGTTAGAATATACTTTGACTTTGAGAACTGACACAGACTCGACGCAAGTTGTGACCGCTAAATAAATACAAAACATCGAAATAACCGTTGAGCACCTTTCACGAATGCTTCATGAAGGGAAGGCAAAATAGCTACAATTTGGTCGACTGACCGAATACCTCGACGATGGACAAGAATGTTCTGTGGCAAGTCCTCGATGCACTCTCTCCGAGAGAACCTCAAATGATAAGCGCTCATCAAAACTGACTGACTGATAAATATGAGAGGAAGTTTGTAACCTCAGAGGAAGTTAAACATCTCTTTAGTTCGTTTACCAAGCATAAGTTCTTCGGCTATTGTTGGGATAAACTTTGAATTTCAAAGGTCGTACGGTGATAATAGGATACCTACAGACAACTGCTGACTAAGGACCATGGTTGTCGTTTTGGCTGAAAGAAGTATCAATGGAAAAGGTGTCCTAATTTCCATTATCAACTTGAGGGACGAGGCAAATTTAGGAGTCATGTTTCGTCGCTGAAAGAAAGGGAAATATTTTTTCTGTTTTGGTTGCTTAATCTGTGAGGTGCGAACGAACGAAAAAGTCCAGAATGAACCTTAGATTAGGCAACAGTTCCACTGCTGACCGGACTGCGTTAAACGTAACCAGCTGGTTTTAGTATAACTTGAAAAATAGTTAGTTATGTGCTCTGTCAAGCGGCAGATCGCCCGAGCAAACAACGTTCTTCTATCGAGCACCAGACGTCAGATGGCACGGCGGCATGCGATCTTTCTGGGTCTCTGCAGGTCAAACGATGGGTGGTCGCCAACCACCTCTCGAAGTTGTCGTCCCACGCGATCGGTTTGTGCTGGCACTCATGAACGAGCGTGCAAACGCCTCAGCCGTGCCTCAGCGACGATCGCCAACGGAAGTTCACGACGACGTCGTAATGAGGACAAACGACGATCGCCTCGATGGTGGTTCTTCATCTCGACTGGTTTGCGCCGCGATCGGTAATGATGATGACGATGACACGATTAATTATTGACGGTAGTCG